ATTATATATTACCCTAATTATTTAGTTCTAATTTGGCGGAGGTATACTGACCTTGTCCATTTGTAGCTGAGTCAGTTCTACAGACAGAGACTGTAGCAGCTTGTCACACCCACACAACCTTGTTAGCACAGCCTAAAACACAGAAACTCCAACTCATTCTACTCCTTTTTTATTTTATTTTTTAATTTTTTATTTTTTTGTTGATGCTGCCAAACCACAAATACTCACATCTGCGTCACTTTCAAGAGGTTGAATTGCAGGCAGCTCTCTCAGCTCAGGCTTGGAGGCCTGAAAAATGAGTGTTGGTTTTATTTAACAAAGATTTAGTAAAATTTCAAGATAAAGTCTTTTTGTATGATTAGAAACATAAATTTAAACGTGATAATTACTAAAAGTCATTGTCGGCAATACATTTTCATGGCTTTATGTTTGAGTTAATGTTTTTTTTTAAAGTTTAGTGCTGAACTGCAAAATAACTGATCTGCAAAGCTTCAGCAAGCCTCAGCCACATACTGCATATTGAGTTTAGTGAAGAATTTTAACAAAATAAAATGTTTATATTTAAAGCACACAGTATAAACTTAATTTCATTAGATCAAGAAATAGCTTTAAAATGTTTAAAGAAAAACAATAGTTCAATTGACTTCATTTTACAATTAAACTAATAACTCTTTCTGTTCCGATATTGGAAAAGCTTGATGATTACCAGTAATAACATTCACTATATTGGTTAGACAGTGTCAGGAAAAAAAACACAATGATGTGTGTCCCTTTTTTGCATGTTTCATATTACAATCAAACACATGATTCATAAATACTAAAACAACAATAACAAGTGTCAGCGAACAAATCAAGGTGATTCACAAACAGCAGTACAAGACAACGTCAACAAATCAGTGACTTGTTTCTAACTGGTTGGGCCATTTATCAACTTTACTGCCTTTTCTGCCTTGTGCAAAACCTGAAGTGACTATATTGAGACAAGCTCAAGTAAAATTTGTTTAATACTCTGTTTTCCATCCAGAAAACTCTGTCAGATTATCCCTTAGTACTCAGAAAAAACTTTAGTGCACATATTTATATATAAGTAGAAAAGTTAGGCAGTGTCCTGAGAGAGTAAATGAAGGACTTTTGTGTGTTTGTAATGGTTGTCATGCCATGGTGTCAATACATGTTTTAGATCTTATCGCTCAAACTTATTTCTGATTATTCCAGGCTTTTCTTATTTTGATAGCAAAGTTAAATTATTTTTCAAAACAAACAAACAAACAAACAAACAAACTCATTAAAAGGACAACAGACAAAGCTGAAGTAGACAACAACAGTGTGAGAACAGGACACAGTGGACAGGGCTGTACCATAGCTGGCGGAAGCACACAAACAGATAAATGGTTGCAGTGATGGTGGCGGTGGTGTGGTGGGGGGTGCAGAGCGTGTGCAGCTCTTGACGAGGGGGGTAAAGGGGGCAGTAAGTCTGCCCCTGTCGAGTGGCTCTGAAGGAAGAGACAGCATATGTATATGAACAGAGATCATGTGATTTAAATGCACAGAAATATTTCATTTTTAAACATTTAGCAAATTATATGGTTTTAACGAAAGCTTGATTATTTAAGAGCAACAACTAGAGCTTTATTTACATTTACTCATTACCAAGTAGTTGTTTGGATAGTTAGGTATTTCTGTGTTTTTGAGAGTCACCTTTCCCAAAGGTCTTCGCCCACTTGATGGCTGATGAACAGAACCATATAAGGGTGCAGGCTGTTGAAAAGAAAAATATAACTTCAGTGGTTTTCTTTGTATAAGTGTTTAATCCATGACTGTTCTATCTATGGAACCTACTCACATTTTTAGCTTTTAATCAAAGTTCTGTTATTTTACCAAAGCACTTGCAAGATTGGTGCTGTGCCAGAGTATTTCTTTTCTGTTATGTTGTTTTTTTTTCTTTTCAGGAGGTTAATGCAGTTTTTTTCTTGTCTTACCTTATAACTTGATCAAATTTGTCTTTCGAGGTCACGTTTATTCCAATGAAACATGTTGAAACTTTAACTTTGTTATGAATTCAATCTGCCAAGGCCTTACTGAGACGAGACAGCGTTTTCACCCTTTAGAAAACTTTTTCACTTTGAAAGGAAGGATTAAATAGCTTCCATGGACAGTTGGATAAGAAAAAATGAACCTAAAACTGATGCCTTGCATAGAACTGTAAATTAAAAACAATGATTTCTAATTAAATATACTAGAAAATATGACTCACAATTACAGCATTTGAGACACAAAAATTTCAAGGCACAGTGTGTAGGATTTGTTGTTTTCAGCGACATCTAGTGGTTGAGTGGTTGAATCATCCTCCCTGGTCCCCCCC